TGTCGCCTGTGCCCTCTCCTGTCTGCGCCCCCTCCCCTGTGACGCGGCTTTGCCCTTGGCAGGAGGAAGGTCAAGGGACCAAAGCAGGACGCCTGCTCCCTTGGCTGTGGCCGGGGGGCGGGGGGACAGTGCCCTTCGGTGACAGTATTTCCTGAGGCTGCCGGGACACGAGGGCATTTTTTCGGCACCTGAGCACTTGGCTGCTGCGTGGTCCTGTGTCGCTCCTTGTCCTTCATGTTGAGCCTCTTCTCACCACCACCAGGTGCCCGCGCCATTAAGAGGTGGGGTCTGAGGCCCAGCAGGTACCCTGGGGAAGCGGACCAGGGCTGGAGCCTGGGCTACAGTGGTGCTGGGCAGCCCCGCCAGGGCCGCCCGACAGAGCTCAGGAAGGCCTAGAGTCGGAGACCGCTGCCTGTGTGCGCATTGCCCAGCGCAGTGCCCAGGCTGCTGCTCCCAGACCTGGCTGCCCAGGGGACAGTGCCAGGGAAGCGAGTGTGTGTGTGGAGGGCCGGAGGTTTAGCTCAGTGGTTCCGCGCCTGCCTCACAAGGACCTGAGTTTGATCCCCAGTACCACAGAACAAAACAAAACAAAAATGTGTGTGGCCTTGGTGGGGAGCCAGCTGCTGCTATTTATCAAGGCCCCTGCTGCACTGGGCTCAGGGAAATCACCAGTGTGAGCCTTGCTCTGTGGGAGACCAAAACCTAAATGAGGAGGAGACACTGAACCCATATGAAGCAAGTTGATGACTGTTCCTCTGAACCCGATTATAAGGTCAGAGACCCCTCAAACTGTCCCAAGAAGCCAGACGTGGTGGTGCACACCTGTAAGCCCAGCACTCTGGGAAGCTGAGGCAGGAGAATCACAAGTTTGAACTTGGCCTGGGCAACTCAGTAACTCAGCAAGACTCTGTCTCAAAATAAAAAAAGAAACGGAGCCGGGGATGTAGCACTGTGCAAAAGCCCTGGGTTCGCTCCCCACATGGGGTGGGGTGGGGATGGGTGTTGAGTGTTTATTATGAAGAGTCGGTGTGGCTGGCGAGCTGTCTGTCTCCTCTGGACACCCGAGCGCCATCCCGGGTTTCTGCGGCCCCTCTGCGTCTGTGCCCCGCTCCTGTCCCCGATGGAGCCTCCTCCGCTCACTCTCCAGGCCTTGGTTTCCAGACCTCCCTCTCCAGGCCTTGGTCACTAGCGATGCCACCTGGCAGCATCCAGGTGGCAGTGGCAGCCAGAGACCTTTGGGAACCCCGTTCTTTCCTCTGCGCACAGAGCCCGCTCCCCGGCATGGGTCCCCGGATGCAAGCCACCGTCGGCAGGGCGGCTCGGAGGACAGGAAGGGAAACGGGCAAAACTCTGGGTCTGAGCCCCTGAGGCTGCAGGAGCGTTTGCTGCTATGGTGTGGCCCGGAGGGACTGGGCCATGGGAGAGAAGGGCGAGGCGAAGAGGTGATGGGAGGTAGGGGCGGGAACTGGGGTGTCCGGGACAGAGACCTGAGGAGAAGAGCTGGGAAGGGGGGCGAGACTTCAAGAGCTGTGTTAAAGGAAAACCAGGTTTGTCAAGAGCTTGTCGGTTATTTTGCTTTCTTCTAATTCAGCACCTCCTCCCCGTCCACCTCCTCTCCCCTCCCTCTCCTCAGGTACTTCAGGCTGGCCTTGAATTCATGGCAACCCTCTTGCCTCAGCCTCCTGAGTGCTAGGATTACAGGAGTGGATCACTGAGTCTGGCTGACTTTCTTGGACAAAGGACTTTTATTTTGTGACAGTTCTGGAATCATGGTCCAAGACCACATCAGAGCTGGTTTATTTGGCACCCTCTCTTTCTGGCTTGTCTATAACCACTTTCACCCTGTGTCCCTGCAAAGCCTCTCCCCAGAGAAGAGGGAGAGGCCTCATGTCACTTCCTCTTCTTATGAGGATCTCATTCTTATGGATGAAGACCACATCCTTCTGACTGCTCTTAACTCATTTACCCTCCTGAAGGCCTTCCCTCTACATCCAGCTGTGACAGGAAGGATTGGGGCTTCAACCCATGAATCTGCAGAGAGGGGACACAATTTAGGTCCTCAGGAGTTGTAATATAAGAGTAAAGGGTGAAAAAAATCATTTACCAGCTTGTCATCATTTGAAGCGCAATGTGTTGAGGGGCAGATTTGCTTCTGCACAAACTGAGTCTGAGGTACTGTCGCTGGTGGTTTCCTGTGGGCACTGGGGACCGGCCTCAGGGCCGGAAATGGAGAGTGGAGAACCATAAGTTGGGTCTGGGAACTGGATCCGGGGCGTTATGGAAACTCTTGGTATATGAAACAGGTTGTGAGAAATGGAACACAGAAACCCAGCCTGAGGAGAGAGGCCCAGCACTACTGGGTGGAGGAAGGGCTAGCGAGACAGATCTTCAGCAGCCAGTCTGCCCTGCCCAGGCTGCTGCTCTCAGGGAGTGCAGGCCAGGGAGAGGGCCCAGGCCAGGCTGAGGCGCCTCATGGGGTGTGGCCCAGACCAAGCCCCTTCCGCAGACACTGGGTCATGAATGTGGTGGACCAGCCACAATAGAAAGCAACCTGGAGATTATTTTTCAGTGTTCAACCCTCGTTCACACATACCCCTTCATTAAAGTCTCACCCAAAACCCCACAAGGTAAGTGCTATCTCCACCAGAGAGCGGGTGACATGAAGGCTCGGAGAAGCTAGGGGCTCTGTTGAGGCGGACAGACTGGGAGTGCCAGAGTCCAGGCTCCTGTGGGCACACTCCTGGCCTCTGACCCCCACAGCTTCCCTCCTACTAGTTCTTCTTCAGGCACTGCAGGTGTTGGCTCCAGCCCACTTCAAGGCAGGAGCAAGGAACCATGGGGAGTGGTCGTTTCCCACCTATGAGGGTCTCTTTCTTTCCTGTGAGTTTGCATAGAGTTGAAACTCTGTCCTTGGAAGCTTTCCAGAAGCAAGACTAGGGGCTCACATTAACTAAGGAGAAAGAGTGGCTTTTGCACCAAGGAAGCTCTGCATCGGTCTTGAGGAAGCCCATGAAGTGCAAACAGTGTTTGCCTTTCCCCGACATTTCCATGGACCATGTGTTTTCTAGAATGTTCTTCTCAGATCCCTCAGGTTGTAAAAGAAGACACCCGGAGGGTCCCATGGTGAGGTTCTCATGGTAGTGACAGTGTGTGCATAATTTTGTTTAACGCTCCTTCAGAGCAGTTGCTACTCTGTGAGAAGCACAATTGCACCCATTGTTCCTTTTGGCAGAAACTGACTTCTGGCTCCAACTTCTTCATTTTCTTCTACATCTTGATCTTCGGGGGGGGGAGGGGACAGCTGGAGAGAGGAGGTGGTTGGCTACCACTCAGTAGGCCCTGCAAGTAGGCTGCCTCCCTCAGCAGCACCCGTTAACTTGGCACTCTCCTGTAGGGTAAGACAGCATGGCACTGCAGAGCCACGCAAACCAGCAGCCCGCACTGCCCTGTCGGACCTGAGAGACCTCATCGATCCCAGTGCTCTGGCTTACCTCCTCCCAGCCTGTTCAACTCAGACCTCCCTTGAAAGGATGTTAACAGCTGTATTCTGGTCGGATCGTTAAAATAAAAACCTAGAAAGTTTCCCAGAGGCTCTCAATCTACACTTCAAGGCCAAGGGGGGAAAAATTAACCTAGTTTCACTTATTTTAGGAAACAAATGCTGAGCACCTGAAAGCCCAGTTTGGATCCTCATTCTAGGTTTTCTGGAGAGAAAAGGAGACAGAGTGCAGTTGGGGGCACAGGCTTGAGTAGGGCAGAGGTCGTTAGGGGCCCTCTGGACCCTCTGGTGAGTGGACCTGTCAGAAAAAGCTCATATGACCATAGTCTTCCAAAGGGCTGTGTTTGTAGGATGCTTTTTACTCAGTTTTCAAGGAGCTTCCTGTCTTGGAGGCATTTATACGGCCAACAGGGTGTTGAGCGGGGCTAGGGAGGACACCCGAGTGCAGCCCCCTCTAGAAGACATCACGTGGGAACCCCAACTGGGAAGCCAGAGTCGTGGGAAGTCACTGTACTTCCTGTAAATTCCAGAATAACCACCAATGAGGAGCCACGTTCTGTAGCCTCATGAGGCTTATACATTATGCATCTTATTTGGTTAACATTTGCACTAGCCACATGCTCACAACTTCTATAAAGGGAGTTAGTATATTTTAGCGGCCTACCAACTGGAATTTTCTCCCTCAGGCCTGGAAAGATGATTTAGTCCTGTGCCAATGAGGCGCTATTCCCAGGGCTGTGTCCTCATGCTTGTTGGCCATGGTTTCGCCCCCTTCTGGTGGCTCAGGGCAAGGCCTCGCTGGCTGGCTATAGTAAAGGCAAGGATTTGCTTCTCTTTGTTTGTTTGTTTGCTTTTCCCTAGAAAACATGTAAAAGCCATTGCTATATAACCAGTTACACTTAAATTTAGCAGACTAAAAGAACAAACATTTATTATCTCACCGTGTGGATTCAAAATCTGGGAGTGGCTTAGCTGGTGGCTCTAACTCATGATCTTGCATAAGGGTGCAGTTACAAAGTGTGATCAAAAACTGATGCAAATGTTTAAATTTTTAGAAAATTATTACTGAACAATTATTACAGTAAAGGCACAGTGCCATGAATCCTCTCAAAATACTCCCCTTGTTTTGAACACACTTATCTCATCATTCCTTGACCTTTTCTGAAGCAGTTCTGCAAGTCCTCTTTCGTGAGTGTCTTTTTTTCTTCTTTTTAACAAGTTCTTACTATGTAGTCCAGGCTGGCCTTGAACTCAATGTATAGCTCAGGCTGTCCTCGAACTAACAGTGACCCTTCTGCTTCAGCCTGCCCTGTTCTGGGAGTTCAGGTGTGCACTACCATGCCCGGCTTGTGAGTGTCTTCAATTGCGCTGCCATGGCTGCCTCAGTGTCCTGAATCAATTCTAAACATTTTCCTTTCGTTTTCATTCTGACTTTGAGGAAGAGCCAGAAGTCACATAGTTAAGAAGGTGGGTGAGGACACACTGTCATGTTTATGAGCCTTCCTGTCCGGATGGCACTCAGCAGCAGCATTCTGATTCCACTTTATAAAGGCACTTGTAAAAGAGGACATCCAGAACTGCTTCAGAAAGTGGCAAGACGGGTGAGGTAAGTGCATTCAAAATGGAAGGGGAACATTTTGAGGGGGATTCGTGGCAGTGTGCCTTTTATTGTAATCAATTATTTAAATTGAAACAGTCACTGTATGTTCTGATCACATTGCATTGGCTGGAGATGCCACTTTCCGAAGGCCCAACAGGGGAAGGATCTGCTTGCAAACTTGGTCACGCGGCTGCTTACGGGCCCTAGATCCTTACTGTCTGTTGTCCTCACAGCCTGAGCCTCTCGTAACCTGCCGGGGTGTCCTTGGGACATGGCAGCTGGCTTTTCCCAGAGTGAGGGACCTAAGAAGAGAGAGAGACAGAGAGCCCAAGACGTAAGTCATGCATAGCCTTTATGCCCTAATCTCAGAGTTTCATTCTATCACTTCCGGTGTATGCTTTTGGTCACACAGACTGAAAGGGGAACTGTGCAAGGGAGTGAACCTATGCAGGAAGTTTGGGGGACCCTGGAGGCTGACCCCCTTTCTGGAAAGACAGAAGGGGAGAGAGGGTCATGCACTGTAAAGTTAATGTTATGAACGGTTAGTGAACAGCTCTTTCATTAACTAGATGAGTGTCCTAGAGTCAGCCTCCCTGGGTCGCATCTCAAAGCAGCCTGTAAAGTCAGGTGTTCAGAGGACGTGACCTCTGAGGTCCCTAAGATCTGTGGTGTAGATAATTAAAGGTCAGAGAGAAGAGAAGAGAAGTAGGGAAGGGAGGGGAGGGAACTTGGGTTCCATGGAGCCTCCCAAGACCTGAGCCCTGACCCGGCATCTACTCCAGGGCCCAAGCTCTGTGTTCCACAGCCCAGGGCCAGGCTGGGTATCCAAGTCCTGCCATTTGATGACTCAGAAATGGGAATGGGGCTCGTTCCATTTCCCCACGGTTTTCAGACATGTTTCTTTGTGAGGGCAAAGTGGAGACGACCAAGACTGCTTTGAACTAGGGCCAGTCAGCGTTCCCTGGTTTATAGCGCTAGTGCCACTGTGTGTGTAAATCTGTGGGAGTGCAAAACTGTCCAAACATTTTGAGAGAGCAGCCCTGCACCCCCACACCTGCCTCTGGGGGACAGTTCTTGAGTCCGTCATTCCTTGCTACTTCACATTCTTTCTAGCCCTTCCAGAACCTTCCACCCATGAGTGACAGGGACCTGCTGCACCTGGTGGATCATATTATTCAGTGGGGTCAGGGGAACCCCCCCACCCCTGTCAAAGGGCCCCTGGAAAATCTTTGATGGGATTGTGCCTTGTCTGTTTTCTGTTGCTGTAACAGAATGCCACAGAAAAGAAATTTATTTCTCTCAGTTCTGGGGCCAGCATATGGCAAGGGCCTCTGTGCTTCCTCAAAACAAAATGGAAGGGCAAGTGTGTGATCTCAAGTCTCTCTTCCTCTTCTTATACAGCCACCAACCCTGTTATGGCTATACCTGCAGAAGCTGCCTACAGAAAGAGCGAGCCCAGACTCCGTGGGACCAACATATCTGCTTTTCTTTGTGTTCAGCACAGAGAAATACCAGCTCCCTGGAATCAGAGATGCATGGACTTTTGCAAGTTTTGAGGTAAGTAACTTTATTCAGGGGTAACCACTGCGCATTCCCTGGAAGCTGCAAAGTCTTATGATTACCCGTGTCATTTCCTGGCACAGTTGGTGATGCCTGAGTCATCCCAGGAAGCATCGCGGGTGTTTATTCCCAAATACTGAGACTTGTGTCTCCAGTTTTGAGCTGCTCTTTCAGCTGTGGTTCTCATTTTAAAGCAGTAACCTTCAACTGTTGTTTCAGGAAGCCCCGGGGCCCGAGGGGGCAGTGTCCAGCCTCAAGCAGATCTCAGGGAGATGAGAGGGAGGCACAGCTGGGCCCCGGGTGGAGTCAAAGAGTCTGAACATTTCCTTCTGGGAAAAATTAAAGAAGCCCACTTGGAGAGAAAGAGGATTCTCTGAAAGCCAACTACGATGGCTGGTCCCATTCCCTTACACAGAGAGCATCCTAGCATTCAGGCACAGGGCCAGGGCTGTCTGCAGCCATTTGAATGGATGCAGTAGAAAATAAAAGTCTTGTTTTCACGTTATGAGTCTTCTGGCTGTATCACCTGGACTAAGCCACAGTAGTGACCTCAATGTGGACAGATTTTTCCAACCCTGAATTATTCAGGATGCTGAGCTCCCCGGGATGGACTTCTCATCTGTCCAAACTCCGCCCGGGATGTAACACTCACCTCCCTCTTTCTTCCTTTCTCATTGCTTCCCTTTCCTGCTTTGGTCTCAAAGGGGCATTACGTAGTTCCAGATTTGGGAGTTCAGGGCATTCTTACAACGGGAATCCAAAAGATAAATGAGACCTTAGAGGAAATCTAGCTCAACCTCCCACCTAATTCAGAAACCTTCAAAGGCATATTGTATTCCAATTTAATTTTAGGGTAGGGAGAGTACTATGGCACAGAGTGATTCATTTTGTTTGGATGACTCTATTGCTGTAGACACTGTTTTCATATTGACGTTCTTGTATTGAAATCTGCCTCTCTGAAATTTACACCGACCCTTATTTTGCCTTCTGGGACAAACCAGAGTACAGCTAGTCCTTCTCTAAAGCAGTCTTTGAAGAAAATTGCTAGGAGGCCTTGATGCTGTAGCCAAAGCATGCAATTTGCGTCTTGGCTGAGTTCCAGGTCTGCTACTATTGGTCGTGTGTGATTTAGAGAAAGCCCGATGGTCTCTTCTGTGAGGAGAGATGACACCCACTGTACAGCGCCTGCCAGCTTACATGGGACACACAGCGCTGAGTGAGTCTCTGTCCACCTCAGCAGTCAGTGTTCTTTGCTTGAAGTTGGCCTCATAAAAATATTTACACCAGGGAAATTGGCAAATGCTACAAATTAGGAGTTTTTGCTTTTTGCACACCATACCATTAACCATATGTCGATTTGGTTATAATTAGAACAAGTAAATTAGTACAGAAAAATTAGTACAAGTAAATGTCCTTTATAAAATATAAAACTATAGTTTTACAATAGTAGCTATTTTAATAAATTGCCACCAATTAGTCCTCAAGCAGTCCCACCCCAAATTCACTCTTGTGTGTGGTCACTTTCCACACTGTGCTTGGGCTGCTTTTACGCTGTGCTTGGTCCTGTAGCAAGTGACTGAAACAGGGGCCCAGGCAGTAAGAGTCCCTTAGTAGCCACATTCAGAATCCTGTTTCCCCGAAAAGCCATAAGGTCCATGTGAGTGGGAGGCCATGTGAAGGAGGAGGAGGCTGAGGGAGCCCAGACTGCAGAACTGTTGGCAAATGAACGGTTGCTGTTGGTTTAAGACAGTAAGTTTTGGGTGTGGTTTTACACAATGACAGATGACTGTTACAGTTATTATCAGGCCTCTCCAAGTCTCTTCTTGTCCAAGGTAAACTTTCTCAGAGCCTGTCTTTCCCTGGATGGCCTCCATTCACTAGTCCTGGGCTGGATATGGTGCAGGACCCAGTGCTTGAACTGCCCAGAGGCCGAGAGACATCTCTCAGGGGTCTGGATCCTCGCTGACCCCTGCCACTTTGGTGAGCCAGAGCTTTTGGCACTCAGAGCCCTGCCTGTGAGCTCATCCCAAGCCTTTGCAGGCAACGCCAACCCCCAGGCTGTGAAACTGTGTTCCTCCCATCCTGGTATCTTTCTAAAAATCTAACTCAAGGTTCATAGTCATCATCATTACCTTTTCACTTTCACTTATTCTAGTCTCTTCAAATCTGGGTTCCAATTTGATTGAACATTTTTGCAACTGGTGTAATATTTCTGCTGTGGTTTGAACATGTGCCTGAAGGTCCCTGTGTTAGAAACGCAACAGAATTGAGAAGTGGGATCCATAAGAGGTGATGAGGTTAGGAGGCTCTGTTCCTATGAATGGATTAATGATATTATAAGAGGAGTGAGTTCACTACCACAAGAGTGGGTTTGTTATAAAAGCATATTTGGTGACCCCCCATCCCAGATGATGCCCTCCACCAGGTTACAACACAGCGCTAGGGCCCTCATCAGGGGACAGCACCATGTCCTTGGGCTCTCCAGCCTCCAAATGAGCCATTAGCTCTTTATAAATCACCCAATCTGTGCTATTCTATGATAGCATCATAAACAGGTGATAACTGCCTTACATGTACACATTAACCCCCACACCCAAACACACCCTTCTAGACTCCTGCACATCCAACTTCACACAAACACACATGCATAAACAAGAGGCAGAAGCTCATTCCAGTTTTCACAGTGGCTATGGCGTCTTCCTAAAAGTCATGACTCTTTGTGGTCAGCCTTCTCCTTCTCGCTCAACCTTATCTCCTCACCTATCCCCGATGTAACCATGTAGAAAGCCTTCAAGAAGCCCAGAGGTAGGGAACCCATGACCAGAAACCCCATACTGTTATTAGAGATCAGGCTTCTGTTTTCCTATTCTGTTCTCCTTTGCCTCATCCTCATGATCTGAGGAGGGTGCACATAAGTGTTATATACGTAATCTGAGGCAGGGGCAAGGTGAAACAGGAGGAGGGTAAAACAGGAAAGAAAAAGGCACATGCACCGAGTCTGTTCCCTTTCATTCAGAAAACAACAGTTTTCCTGTGAAGGCCCTGCCAGGAGACTTCTTGTTACATTTATTGGCTAGAAATAGGACACATGGTGACCCCAGCTGTTAGAGAATCTGGAGCGGTTTGTAACTGGGCACATTGCCACCCTGAAAACAATAACTGAGGCTAATCAGGAAGAAATGGAGAAGGAATAATGAATAGGGAACTAGTAATGTTAGTCACATTCTTCCACACATACTACAAATTGTTTGTTTCTATGCCCAAACACATCATGTTTATTGAAAATGGTCACAGAAAATGAGGAAACATGGTAGATTGCAAAAAAGAAAAAAAAAAAAAACCACCACAAATTCTTCTCATTCCTATATAAGCCACTCTTTTCCATGTGACTTTGATATTCTGTCAAGAGTCTATTTCCCCACCCTTTGAATCCAAAGTATAATAGTGTGTTAGTCAGCTTTGCATCATCATCAGGTTAAAAAAAAAAAAGTACTTGGAAAAAAACTTAAATGTGAAAAGATTTCTTTGGGCTCATGGTTTCAGAGGTTTTAGTCCATGGTCACTTGGCTCCATTACTGTGGGTCTATGGCAAAGTAGAAGATCATGGTTGGGGAGGGTGTGTTAAAGCAAAGCTTCTCAACTCACGGCAACTAGAAAAGGGGTAAGGAGAGAGGGAGAGGAAGAACAAGATGAAGAGGAAGGAAAGAAAGAGGGATAGAGAGAGACCCAAGAGGAGGCCTCACCTCCAACCAGGTCCTACCTCCTAAGAATCCATGCAGCTATGAACTCATCAGTGGATTAATCTACTGATGAAGTTAGCACCCTCGTGATCCAATCTCCCCACACCTGAACATTGCCATATTTGGATCAAGCTTTCAATACATGAATGAGTCTTTAGGGAACACCTTGTGTTTATTTTTTGTTTTTGTTTTTTTTTTCTTGGTACCAGGGATTGAACTCAGGACCTTGTATTTGCAAGGCAAGTGGCAAAACCACTGAGCTAAATCCCCGGCCCAAACACCTTGTATTTAAACCACAACAATTGTGATTTGCTTCAACCAGTATGGTGTGACAAAATTAACATTATGTGATTTCCTAGCTCACATGTTAAGAGGTCTTTCTGCTTCATCTCGTCCTCCTAGACTCAGTGCTATAGGTGAAGAATCCCAGAATAGCCTCCTCAAGGATGAGAGACCACAAAAGACAGAAGCCATTAGCCAATATCCACTACCAGACACACAAGTGAAGTGATCTCAGATGAATTAGCCCTTTCCAGCCTCTATACGATCATAGCTGCATGAGCAATGCCAGAAGAACCATCCTGCAGAGCTCAGTCCAAACAGACAACCCACAGAATCAGGAGCAAATGAAATGGCTATTGTTTTAAGACACTAAGTTTTGGGGTGGACAGTGAAATAGATCATGTATGTGTAGAGTGCAGCAGAGTGGGTGCTGTTGATGATGTTGCTGGAGGCTGGCTTGATCCACATCTGGTTTCAAACTTTTTTCTAGGAGCCCTGCATGGAGGACAACAAGAAAGCCAAACTCACTGCTGGCTGGCCCCCTCCTCACTCCATGCAGCTTGACTTATCTATTTTGTACATTTGGGTTCTTTTTTTTTTTTTAAGATTGAAGAACCACATACTGGATCATCTCTAAGTTCCAGTGTTCAGTTCTAGAATTGTACCAATTTTGGTTTCTCCCCATCTCTTTTCCTATTCCATTTCCTTTGCATTTCTCTTCATTCACTGTTATCATAATCTGTCATGAGCGCTTGGTATTTCTTTAATCCTTCACACCCCCAACCACCCACCATCCATACACTCAGCTCCCAACCCTCTGTCCTCCCTGTGCAACCCAAGTGGGGCCAGTCCTTTCCTGAGACTGACTTTTGGAAGTGAAGAAAGTGCTTGAAACA